CTTAACAACCATGAATGTTACATTAACATCTTGAATGTTTACAGTAACAACCTTGAATGTTACAAATTTAAAAACCTTGAATGTTACATTAACAACCTTGAATGTCACATTAACAACCTTGAATGTCACATTAACAACTTTGAATGTCACATTAACAACCTTGAATATCACATTAACAACCTTGAATGTCACATTAACAACCTTGAATGTTACATTAAAAACCTTGAATGTCACAAATTTAAAAACCTTGAATGTTACATTAACAACCTTGAAAAGTCCCCATTAAAAAACCTTGAATGTCACATTAACAACCTTGAATGTCACATTAACAACCCCTTTAATGTCACATTAACAACCTTGAATGTCACATTTAAAAACCTTGAATGCACAAAAATGAAAAAACCTGAATGTCACATTAACAACCTTGAATGTTACATTAACAACTTGAATGTTACAGTAACAACCTGAATGGGTTTCATTAACAACCTTGAATGTTTACATTAACAAACTTGAATGTTACATTAACAACCTTGAATTTACATTAACAACCTTGAATGTCACATTAACAACCTTGATTGTCACATTTAAAAACCTTGAATGTCACATTAACAACCATGAATGTCACATTAACAACCTTTAATGTCACATTTTAAAAAACTTGAATGTCACATTAACAACCTTGAATGTCACATTTAAAAACCTTGAATGTTACATTAACAACCTTGATGTCACATTAACAACCTTGAATGTCACATTAACAACCTTGAATGTTACATTAAAAAACCCTTTTAATGTTACATTAACAACCTTGATTTACATTAACAACCTTGATGTTACATTAAACAACCTTGAATGTTACATAAAACAACCTTGAATGTCACATTAACAACCTTGAAAGTCACATTAACCCAAACCCTTTAATGTCACATTAACAACCTTAATGTCACATTAACAACCTTGAATGTCACATTAACAACCTTGAATGTCACATTTAACAACCTTGAATGTCACATTAACAACCTTGAAGTACATTAAAAAACCTTGAATGTCAAATTAACAACCTTGAATGTCACATTAACAACCTTGAATGTCACATTAAAAAACCTTGAAAGTCACATTAACAACCTTGAATGCCACATTAACAACCTTGAATTTCACATTAACAACCTTGAATGTCACATTAACAACCTTGAATGTCACATTAACAACCTTGAATGTCACATTAACAACCATGAATGTCACATTAACAATCTTGAATTTTACATAACAACCTTTGAATGTTACATTAAACACCTTGAATGTCAAATTAACAACCTTGAATGTCACATTAACAACCTTGAATTTACATTAACAAACCTTGAATGTTACATTAACAACCTTGAATGTCACATTAACAACCTTGAATGTCACATTAACAACCTTGAATGTTAAATTAACAACCTTGAATGTCACATTAACAACCTTGAATGTTACATTAACAACCTTGAATGTTAATTAACAACCCTTTAATGTCACTTAACAACCTTGAATGTCACATTAACAACCTTGAATGTCACATTAACAACCTTAATGTCAAAATTAACAACCTTGAATGTCACATTAACAACCTTGAATGTCACATTAACAACCTTGAATGTCAAATTAAAAACCTTGAATGTCACATTAACAAACCTTGAATGTTACATTTAAACAACCTTGAATGTTACATTAACAACCTTGAATGTTACATTAACAACCTTGAATGTCACATTAACAACCTTTAATTCACATTAGCAGCCTTGAATGTCACATTAACAACCTTGAATGTCCATTAACAACCTTGAATGTTACATACAACCTTGAATAATTAACAATTAATTACATTAACAATTTGAATGTCACATTAACAACCTTGAATGTCCATTAACAACCTTGAAATCTACATTAACAATCAATTTACATAAAACCTTGAAGTTCACATTAAAACCTTGAATGTTAATTAACAACCTTGAATTCACATTAACAACTTAAACACTTATGTCACATTAACAACCTTGAATGCATAAACAACCTTGAATGTCACATTAACAACCTTGAATGTCACATTAACAACCTTGAATGTCAATTAACAACCTTGAATGTCACATTAACAACCTTGAATGTTACATAACAACCTTGAATGTCACATTAACAAACCTTGAATGTTACATTAAAAAAACTTAATTACATTAACAACCTTGAATGTACATTAACAACCTGAATGTCACTTAACAACCTTAATTGTCACATTAACAACCTGAATGTCACATTAACAACCTGAATGTACATTAACAACCTTGAATTACATTAACAACCTTGAATTACATAACCTTGAATGACATTAACAACTTGAATGCTTAATACAACTTGAACAACATTAAACTTCAATAACACATAAAATTGAATTTCACATTAACAACCTTGATGTTCACTTAAACTTAATTTAAAACCTTGAATGTCACATTAACAACCTTGAATGTTACAAAAAACCTTGAATGTCACATTAACAACCTTTAATGTCACATTAACAACCTGAATCATTAAAACCTTGAATGTCACATTAACAACCTTGAATGTACATTAACAACTTGAATGTCACTTAACAACCTTAATGTCACATTAACAACCTTGAATTTACATTAACAACCTTGAATGTTAATTAACAACCTTGAATGTACATTAACAACCTTGAATTATTAACAACCTTGAAGTTACATTAAAACCTTAAATAACAACCTTGAATGTCACATTAACAACCTTAATGTACATTAACAACCTTGAATTCAATAACATTAAACAAACAACCTATTCACATTAACAACTTGAATGTCACATTAACAACCTTGAATGTCAATTAACAACCTTGAATGTTAATTAACAACCTTGGGAAATTAAATTAACAACCTTGAATATTACATAACAACCTTGAACTACATTAACAACCTGAACATTAACAACCTTGAATGCACATTAACAACTTGAATTTCAATAAAACCTTGAATGCACATTAACAAACCTTGAATGTCACATTAACAACCTTGAAGTTACATTAAAACCATGAATTCCATTAACAATCTTGAATGTTACATTAACAACCTTGAATTTCAAATTAACAACCTGATGAATTAACAACCTTGAATGTCCATTAACAACCTTGAATGTTACATTAACAACCTTGAATGTTACATTAAAAAACCTTGAATGTCACATTAACAACCTTGAATACATTAACAACCTTGTGTTACAAACAACCCTTGAATTACATTAACAACCGATTGAATTTTCAAACAACCTTGAATTACATTAACAACATTGAATCCACATTAAAACCTTGAATTCCATTAACAACCTTAATTACATAAACAACCTTGAATTACATTAAACAACCTTGAATTCACATTTAACAACCTTGAATGTCAATTAACAACCTTGAATGTAAATAACAACCTTGAATTCAATTAACAACCTTGAATGTTACATTAACAACCTATGAATTTAACAACCTTGAATGTTACATTAACAACCTTGATTACATTAAAACCTTGAAGTTACATAACAACTTGAATGTCACATTAACAACCTTGAATTCACATTAACAACTTGAATGTCACATTACAACCTTGAATGTCACATTAACAACCTTGAATGTTAACAACCTTGAATTTGTACATTAACAACCTTGAATGTCAACCTTAACAACCTTGAATGTCCACATTAACAACCTTGAAATGTTACATTAACAATTGAATGTCATTAACAACTTGAATTCTGAAATATTTACCCTTAATTTAACAACCTTGAAATGAATGTCACATTACAACCTTGAATGTCACATTAACAACTTGAATTTACATTAACAACCTTGAATGTCCATAACAACCTTGAAGTTCACATTAACAACCTGAATGTCAATTAACAACCTTGAATGTCAATTAAACAACCTTAATCAACCTTAAAAACAACCTTGAATGTCACATTAACAACCTTAATTACATTAACAACCTTAATGTCACATTAACAACCTGAATGTCACATTAACAACCTTGAAGTTACATTAACAAATTGAATTCACATTAACAACAATTCACATTACAACCTTGAATACATTAAAACCTTGAATGCTACATTAACAACCTTGAATGTCCATTAAACAGAATGTCACATTAACAACATTGAATTACATTAACAACTTAAAAGCCACTAACAACTTGAATATCACATTAACAACCTTGAATGTCACATTAAAACCTTAATCACATAACAACAATGTTACATTAACAACCTTAATGCACATTAACAACCTTGAATGACACATTAACAACTTGAATGTCACATTAACAAACCATTTTAATTAACACTAAACCTTAAATCCATAACAATTAACACTGAACATTAACAACTTGAATTCCAATTAACAACCTTGAATGCACATAACAACTTAAATGCCACATTAAGACCTTGAATACCACTTAGAACCTTGAATGCCACATATAACAACCTTGAATTTATTAACAACATTAGAATGTCACATTAACAACATTGAATGTCACATTAACAACCTTAAATGCCACATTAACAAACTTGAATACCACATTAACAACCTTGAATGCCACATTAACCCTAATGCACATTAACAACTTGAATGTCACATTAAAACTTAATCCACATTAAAACCTTAATACATTAACAACTTTGAATGTACATTAACACTTGAATGTCACATTAACACCCTGAATTTAAACTTGAATGCCACATTAACAACCTTGAAATGCAATTTTTTTTTTTTTTTTTTTTTTTTTTTTTTTTTTTTTTTTTTTTTTTTTTTTTTAACAACCTTACCACATTAACAACCTTGAATGCCACAATAACAACTTTGAATGTTACATTAACAACCTTGAATGCCACATTAACAACTTTGAATGTCACATTAACAACCTTGAATGTCATATTAACAACCTTGAATGTCACATTAACAACTTTGCATGCCACATTAACGACCTTGAATGCCATATTAAAGATCTTGAATGCCTTATTAACAACCTTGAATGGCATATTAACAACCTTGAATGTCTTATTAAGAACCTTGAATGCCACATTAACAACCTTGAATGCAACATTAGCAACCCTGAATGCCACATTAGCAACCTTGAATGCCACATTACCAACCTTGAATGCCACATTAACAACCTTGAATGCCACAGTAACAGCCTTAAATGCTACATTAACAACCTTGAATGCCACATTAACAACCTTGAATGCCACATTAACAACCTTGAATGTCATATTAACAACCTTGAATGTCATGTTAACAACCTTGAATGTCACATTAACAACCTTGAATGCCACATTAACAACCTTGAATGCCACATTAACGACCTTGAATTCCACATTAATGACCTTGAATGCACATTAGCAACCTTGGATGTCATATTGACAACCTTGAATGCCATATTAACAACCTTAAATGTCTTATTAACAACATTGAATGCAACATTAACAACCTTGAATGTCTTATTAACAACCTTTAATGCCACATTAATAACCTTGATTTGCGCATTAAGAACCTTGAATGTCTTATTAAGAACCTTGAATGTCATATTAACAATCTTGAGTGCCACATTAACAACCTTGAATGTCTTATTAACAACCTTGAATGTCACATTAACAACCTTGAATGTCTTACTAACAACCTTGAATGTCTAATTAACAACCTTGAATATCACATTAACAACCTTGAATGTCTTACTAACAACCTTGAATGTCTTATTAACAACCTTGAATGTCACATTAACAACGTTGAATGTCTTACTAACAACCTTGAATGTCTAATTAACAACCTTGAATTTCACATTAACAACCTTGAATGCCACATTAACAGCCTTGAATGTTATATTAACAAACTTGAATGTCTTATTAACAACCTTGAATGTCATGTTAACCACCTTGAATTCCTTTAACAACCTTGAATGGCACATTAACAATCTTGAATGTCTTATTAACAATGTTGAATACCATTAACATCCTTGAATGTCTTATTAACAACCTTGAATGGCACATTAACATCCTTAAATGTCTTATTGACAACCTTGAATGCCATATTAACAACCTTGAATGCCCCATTAACAAGCTTGAATGCCACATTAACAACCTTGAATGCTACATTAACAACGTTGAATGTCTTATTAACAATGTTGAATGTCTTATTAACAACCTTGAATGCCACATTAACATCCTTAAATGTCTTATTGACAACCTTGAATGCCACATTAACAAGCTTGAATGTCACATTAACAACGTTGAGTGCCACATTAACAACCTTGAATGCCACATTAACAACCTTGAATGCCACATTAACAACCTTGAATGCCACATTAACAACCTTGAATGCCACATTAACAACCTTGAATGCCACATTAACAACCTTGAATGCCACATTAACAACCTTGAATGCCACATTAACAACGTTGAATGTCACATTAACAACGTTGAATGCCACATTAACAACCTTGAATGCCACATTAACAACCTTGAATGCCACATTAACAACCTTGAATGCCACATTAACAACCTTGAATGCCACATTAACAACGTTGAATGTCACATTAACAACGTTGAGTGCCACATTAACAACCTTGAATGCCACATTAACAATGTTGAATGCCATATTAACAACCTTGAATGTTTTATTAACAACTTTCAATGGCATATTCCGCCTTGTTTATATTGCTGTTTTTGTTGTTGTTTTTGTTGTTGTTGTTGTTGCTGTTGTTTCTGTTTTTGTTGCTGCTGTTCTTTTTGACAATGTTTTTGTTATTGTTCTTGTTGCTGTTGTTTCTGTTGATATTGTTGCTTTTTTTTGTTAAAATTTGTTCTTGACAGTGCTTGGCACCGTTCTTGCACAGTCCTTGGCATGGTCCTTGGCACAATGACTGGTACAGTGATTGGCAGAGTGCTTGGCATGGTCCTTGGGACAGTGCTTGGTACAGTCGTTGGCACAGTCCTTGGCAATACCCTTGGCACAGTGCTTGGCAAGGTCTTTGGCACAGTTCTTGGCAAGGTTCTCGGCACAATACTTGGCAAGGTCCTTGGCACAGCACTTGGCAAGGTCCTTGGCACAGTGCTTGGCAAGGTCCTTGGCACAGTGCTTTGCACAGTACATGGCAGGGTCCTTAGCAAAGTGCTTGGCAGGGCCCTTGGCATAGTGCTTAGCAAGGTCCTTGGCACAGTACTTGGCAAGGTCCTTGGCACAGTACATGGCAGGGTCCTTTGCACAGTACTTGACACGGTCTTTGGCACAGTGCTTGGCTAGGTCATTGGCATAGTTCTTGGTAAGGTCCTTGGCACAGTGCTTGGCAAGGTCCTTGACAAGGTCCGTAGCACAGTGCTTGGCAAGGTCCTTGGCACAGTACTTGGCTGGGTCCTTGGCACAGTGCTTGGTAAAGTTCTTGGCAAGGTCTTTTTCACAGTGTTTGGCACGGCCCTTGGCACAGTTCTTGGCAAGGTCCTTGGCACAGTACTTGACACGGTCTTTGGCACAGTGCTTGGCTAGGTCCTTGGCATAGTTCTTGGCAAGGTCCTTGGCACAGTGCTTGGCAAGGTCCTTGACAAGGTCCGTAGCACAGTGCTTGGCAAGGTCCTTGGCACAGTACTTGGCAGGGTTCTTGGCACAGTGCTTGGCACAGTACTTGACAAAGTCCTTAACGCAGTGCTTGGCAAGGTCCTTGGCACAGTACTTGACACGATTCTTGACACAGTGCTTCCTTTGCACTGTTCTTGGTAAGGTCCTTGGCACAATACTTGGCAGGGTCCTTGGCACAGTGCTTGGCACAGTACTTGGCAGAGTCCTTAGCACAGTGCTTGCAAGGTCCTTGGCACAGTACTTGGCAGGATCATTGGTACAGTTCTCGGCAAGGTCCTTGACACAGTTCTTGACAAGGTCCTTGGCACAGTGCATGGCAAGGTATTCGGCACAGTACTTGGCAAGGTCATGGCGCAGTACTTGGCAGGGCCCTTGGCACAGTGCTTAGCACGGTACATGGCAGGGTCCTTGGCACAGTGCTTGGCACAGTACTTGGCAGGGTCATTGGCACAGTGCTTGGCACAGTACTTGGCAGGGTCCATGGCACAGTGCTTGGCACAGTACTTGGCAGGGTCCTTGGCACAGTATTTGGCAGGATCCTTGGCATAGTTCTTGACACGGTCCTTGGCACAGTGCTTGGCAAGGTTCTTGGCACAGTTCTTGGCAAGGTCCTTGGCACAGTTCTTGGCAAGGTCTTTGGCACAGTTCTTGGCAAGGTTCTTGGCACAGTGCTTGGCAAGGTCCTTGGCACAGTACTTGGTAAGGTCCTTGCCACAGTACTTGGCAGGGTCCTTGGCACAGTGCTTGTCACAGTACTTGGCAGGGTCCTTAGCACAGTGCTTGGCAAGGTGCTTGCCACAGTTCTTGGCAGGGTCCTTTTCACAATGCTTGTCACCGTACTTGGCAGGGCCCTTAGCACAGTGCTTGGCAAGGTCCTTGGCACAGTACTTGGCAGGATCCTTAGCACAGTTCTTAGCCCCGCCCTTGGAACAGTACTTGGTAAGGTCTTTGGCACAGTTGTTGGCACAATACTTCGAAAGGTCCTTGGCACAGTGCTAGGCACAGTACTTGGCAGGGTGCTTGGCACAGTGCTTGGCACAGTACTTGGCAGGGTGCTTGGCACAGTGCTTGGCACAGTACTTGACAGGGTGCTTGGCACAGTACTTGGCACAGTACTTGGCACAGTGCTTGGCACAGTACTTGGCAGGGTGCTTGGCACAGTGACAACTCTGCCACCTACGTGAAACATGAGTCATCCCAGTTATAAGGGATTCTCTTCTTCCCCCTTTACCACCCCCACCCTAACCCCCACCCCTAAACCCCATCCTTTTCCCCTCACCCACACCCCTCACCCCTTACCCCACACCCCTCACCTCCACCTCCACCACCATCTCGGTCCTCTCTTCCATTTCTCCCCTTCAATATGTCTCCCCTCCTCCTTCCCACTTCAACCCCTTCCCATGTGTGGGTGTACGTGTGTGGATGTACGTGTTAAGGTTGGTTGTACGTGTGTGGGTGCACTCGAATACTTCTTTAAGACATGTTTGGCCAGGCATTATCCTCTACTAGAGGTCCCTTGGTTATCCTCACTGATATCGTTTGCTGCAGCGTCAGCAACTTTCAAACAACGTTGGCAGGTCAGCTTATAAACAACGTTGGCAGGTCAGCTTATAAACAACGTTGGCAGGTCAGCTTATAAACAACGTTGGCAGGTCAGCTTATAAACAACGTTGGCAGGTCAGCTTATAAACAACGTTGGCAGGTCAGCTTATAAACAACGTTGGCAGGTCAGCTTATAAAAAAACGTTGGCAGGTCAGCTTATAAACACGTTGGCAGGTCAGCTTATAAACAACGTTGGCAGGTCAGCTTATAAACAACGTTGGCAGGTCAGCTTATAAACAACGTTGGCAGGTCAGCTTATAAACAACGTTGGCAGGTCAGCTTATAAACAACGTTGGCAGGTCAGCTTATAAACAACGTTGGCAGGTCAGCTTATAAACAACGTTGTCAGGTCACTTATTAAAGAACGTTGGCAGGTCAGCTTATAAAAAACGTTGGTCAATAAAGCTCCAGTCATTATAAAGAAACGTTGCAGTCATTTAAAAGAACGTTGGCAGGTCAGCTTATAAAGAACGTTGGCAGGTCAGCTTATAAAGAACGTTGGCAGGTCAGCTTATAAACAACGTTGGCAGGTCAGCTTATAAACAACGTTGGCAGGTCAGCTTATAAACAACGTTGGCAGGTCAGCTTATAAACAACGTTGGCAGGTCACAAGACTTTCCCTTCGTAAGTGTCCTCTTCAGGAGGGACGTGTTACCTCTCTCTATGAATAAGTCACTATTTGTGACTTGATAAGCCCACTGTGTGTGTAACACGTTGTCAATAAAGGCTCCCATTATTCTATACACAAATAACTTGCACATAAGAGAGAGGAGCTTACGGCAACGTTTCGGTCCGACTGTGACTCTAAATAGTCCAAGTCAGAGCGAAACGTCGTCGTAAGCGCCTCTCTTCTATGTGCGGGTCAATCCCGGCCGGGGTATGGTTTGTTTGCATTACGATTTCGTGAGTCACGGTATTGTGCTTTTTTATTCTTCACATTATTCTACATTTGTGTGTCTTTTTCCATCATCTCGATATTTTACTCCATCTTACTCCGGCTCTGTGTATAACACGGGTATTGTTAAGATCGTGTTCATTACTTGCGTGATCGTGTTCAAGAACTCTGGTGTGAACTTACGTGTGGTAACTCCTCAGAGGAGTTCAGCCAAACGCCTAGTTTGTAAACCGTGGGTTCTTAGAAGAGTTACATCAATGACATGTCGTACTTTCGGTAAAGCCGTGTGTTGCTGTCTCTCGGTACCCGTCTTGAGGCTCTGGGGAATGTACAGTGTCATTACCCCCATCTACCCTATTCGTGTATCATTTATTTATTAAGTTAATAAAGCCACAGATTAGCCAAACGTCTACAAATGAAGATACCCAGGTGTTGCACATGTGGATGATTTCTCAACTTGGTGCTAAAACACTACATTCCCCCCATTTTTCGTGCACGAATTAACCTGACTTACATTCGTCAAATTCACGAGGTAGGAACGGCCTACGACTTCTACCGTAGCCTCGAATCTTACTTCTGTTGGTCATTTATCGTTCTTAAAGGTTCGTCAAGGTAAAGAACAAACGTATTCAACAGAGGCATATCATTGTCGTTCGTAGAATGGAAAATGACACAGTTGTTGATTACAAGAAGCCTTCCCGTCCTCCTGTGTTGTTGCATCCCATCAATACTTAAGCATCACCGAACTAAAAATTTATGATTCTTTGCTCTCGTGTGTCCAAATGCAGCAGTAAGTACATATTTTGTGTTAGTGGTCCTACAGTACGTCAGTGTGGCCCTAGAGTACGTCAGTGTGGCCTACCATATGTCATTGTGGCCCTACAGTACTTCAGAGTGGCTCTAGAGTACGTCAGAGTGGCTCTACAGTGCGTCAGTGTGGTCCTACAGTACGTCAGTGTGGCCCTACAGTACGTCAGTGTGGCCCTACAGTACGTCAGTGTGGTCCTACAGTACGTCAGTGTGGCCCTACATTACGTCAGTGTGGCCCTACAGTACGTCAGTGTGGCCCTGCAGTACGTCAGTGTGGCCCTATAGTACGTCAGTGTGGCCCTACAGTACGTCAGTGTGGCTCTACAGTACGTCAGTGTGGCCCTACAGTACGTCACTGTTGCTCAGCAATTTATCAGCGGCGGAGAAAGTCCTCAACACAAGAGACTAGTAGAGTCTGCAAGCTGCTGACTACAGTATAAACAAGAGAACTGGCAGACAGCTGCAGGTCTGCCGCTGTCGTACCTATCCTCACCCCACCAAAAAATATGTGACAGCAGACTGGGAAATACAGTCCACTATCTTCAACGTGCAAGGGATGTCAGGAAATATTTCTTCAGCGCTGAGAGTTGCAAAAAAAAGAGGAACGACCTGGATGGAATCCATGAACTCAGTTTTTGGAACAGGTATGAAAGGGAGCAGTGTGTGTGTGTGTGTGTGTGTGTGTGTGTTCACTTGAAGTTATCACCAGGGTTCACTTGAAGTTACCACCAGGATTCACTTGAAGTTATCACCAGGATT